TCAACCTTGAGCCGGTGAGATTAGAACCGCTGAACTGCAGATAACAGTCAGCTGAAGTGGCCTGCAGTACTACACCCTAACCACTGCGCCACCTCCCCTCTTCATAATTTTCATAACCCTCACCCTTTCTATTATATTTATCAGTCTGTGTAGAAACATATTTTTGACCACTCTGTGGATCACTAAATATTGGAGCTACCCCCCCCCCCAAATGAAATAGAGTTTTGGATTAGTTTCTTTCCCCAAAGGATTTTCTTTTATTTTTAGTTCCTTTCAGCACATCATTTTTCATGTTTTTTTCAGGTGCTGTTAAAACTCTTCATGTTTTTAATTCTGAACACTTTTTACTTAGATACATACTCCCATTGAATTTTAAAAGGATTTAATTTCCTGCTCCATATGAGAAATAAATTCTGAGTAAGAGTAGTAGTACTATTAGAAGCACAATAGGGATAGTAGCCATTTTCTTTTATGATTTATATGCTATTGAATGCAATATTAATATTGGTATTAGCTAACTTGTTAGCAAATGTAGTTTCCCTGAAGAGTAAAGCGAAATAATGTAATTATTGGAAGTTTTTACACCTCTTACTTTTTGCACAATAGCTCATACCTTTGAGACAGTTTGATATATTGACAAACTCCAACTGTTACGTCTAACTATTCCAGATATTTTTCTACTAAATGCACTGCAATTTAACAATAGTTGATGTATATTTCACTGATATATCTCCCTAGTCTTCATGAGAGAGAAAGTGAGAGAAAGAGGAAAAAAAGATAGGTAATAGAAGATGCAGTTATTAATGATACAACTTCATTTTCCCTCCTCCAAACTCTAATGTGCTACTTATAGAATCACTTGCTTTTATGCACTGCATTGCAGTGGGATCTCTGCATATTTCTCCCAACATAATATAGGTGTTAAGTCAAGGCTTCTTCTGAAGGAATTACTCTTCAGTTATGCGCTATCAGTTGAATAAAGGAGTGTTGTACTTGTGGTGCCTTCTGGGAGCTTTATTTCAATTATATACTAAGATGTTATTTTTTAACAAGTGTTAAGTTTAATTACTGCAAATAAATATTATCATTGAATTTAATTAGTACCAAATGACACTGCTTCTCAAAACAATACTTACATTGTGCATTTTCTGAAATAATTTAGAAAAACCAAGAATTGGCGCAAAGATGGCATTGACTCCTATTTTGTTGCTGTTTTAACTTCATAAGTGGATCAGTTGCACTGTTAGCTGTTGTAGTTGATACAGGGGTATTTTAAATGAATACATCAGTCTAGATTAAGTGTTCATACATCAACTCTTCTCAATCTGGTGTCCTCAATATGTTAAAGCTATAATTTTCAGAATTTTGGCTGTGAATTTTGAAAATGTAATCTTTACACTCTAGTTGCAGTTGTATATTTTTATTTGCTTTAGAAATTTATAACTCTGGATGGCATATGGTAAAAACAATTAAAGCAGAAATAACACACCCCCCCCCAAAATACCAAGAAAAAAAGCCATTTTAAAAGACAAACAAACCTGCCAGACCTGTCACACACCCCTGTTGCCTAAGGAAAGAACTAGGTTTTCAGAACGCTTTTGAATACAGTCAGGTCTGGGATCAAAGTGGGATAGTGTTCCAGAGGACAGGTCCTGTGATCAAAAGTTTTCCTACATCCCTTCAGTGGCATTGCTTATAAATGGGATCTGAATCATGTCATCTCTGCCTGACCCTACAAGTCAGGTTGAAACTATAGAACAGAGTTCCCCAACATTTCTGGCTTTGTGGACTGGCGGATGGGGGAGAGAGGGGATGTTCCATGCGAATTTACAATAACAATATGAGAATAACAATAGCCCACAAACCAGAGGTGGGTTGCCAATTTTTTTACTGCCAGTGCAGGTGCACTTGCACGCGCACGCATGTGTGCAACACTTATGTGCATGCGCAGAAGCATCTGGGTGGGTGGATGGAGCCACTACTAGTAGTTTGGCCGATCCGGGCCAAACCAGCAGCAACCCACCTTGCCACAAACCCATAGCCATACTCCGCCAGGAATTATCCAGAACCAAAGACAAAATACAGAAGGATGAAAGAAACAATGTAATCTACAAAATCAACTATAACCATTGCAACTAATTCTACATGGGACAAACATCATGTGAATTAACACCACAATCCTAAATCCTTAAATCCCACATTGACACCAAACCACAGTTCAATTGGAGCAACACAAAAATAATAGGCTACGGTACTACCCACCGGGGGGGGGGCAAGGATAGTTGATGCGCAAAATATACATTGCAACGCTTATTGCAAAGCCTCTCAACTATCAAATGACAACCCGGCCTTCACATGGTGCCCCCCGTTCCCACCAATCGGGCTCTGTCGACCCTTGGGACTGGCGTCCCCTTGGGTATATCCAGCCGAAACAGCTTCCATGGATCGCCGTATCCATTCCTTTTTAGGGCTAAACAATATCGGTTGCCTCAATGTGCAAACATTGCTACAAACAGGGAAGCAGGCCCTTCTCGCTAATGGCGACTGGCTGCACCACCTGACAACCCTAGCCCAGGACCGAAAACAGTGGCGTCAAATTTCCATGGAAGTCGCCTATACCCACGATGGGTGAAGAGGCGTCAAGTACAAGTACCCATCACGCTCGTGAGTTCATTGAAGCCTGGCACTCCACCAACGGACTCCAGCAATTCCATCAATAGACTCATTGGCCTACAACCAGCTTATGAACCCCTCAGAATCCAAATCAGCTGCACAGCCAACCAGAAACAGCACCGACCCTCAAACAACCCCTGCAACCCCCATACCAGTTCACCTCCCAATGACCCTGACCTGATGTAATCTCCTTATCATGACCCATCTCAAGACCCATCACAAAACTCACTGATGACTCACAGCTGACCCAGCATAAGACCCTCACCTGACACACCCACACCTGAAGCCTTTATAAACAAAAGAACACTGATACTGACATCCCCTAAACTTCGCTGAAGATGTTATCTAGCCTGGTAACAAAATATTTGGAAACCAACCCACGAATGTCACTATATCAAAATAATATAATGTATTATGTGTCTCATAATGTTCAAAGAGATTCAATTGTCAACTTTATTAAAAAATTTAAAAACCAAAAAGAATTATGCAGGCAATAGTTTTTACTATTACTCTGAAA